ATTTTTATTATGTTTTATGTAAAAATTCAATATCTGACTTGAACTGAAATGAGGAAATTTGTGGTCTTAATTTATCCCACCTTGTATAAATATTCATGTTTCACTACAGAAATACTAATGCTTAGTACTTATACAAGGTACTGGCCGTGAATCTCTTGGAGGTGTTACACTCTATATAATTCGGTACGTGCACTGAATTATCTTTGTAAAATAGAAATATATTGAAATTTTGAAACATATATTGTACCAAGAATTTCCTGTAGGGACTGTGGACCTGTGTATAACAAATGAGCTGACTAGAGTGAATTCTACCATATATTGTGAGATAAAGATCGTTGCACTTTGGGGAACTATCTCTTTGCCAGATGCACATAAATTGTGACCAGGACCCTTTTCTTTCTTCATTATTGTAGCACCTTTTGGACTTTGGATCCCTGAAACCTCTCCTGTCTCTCAACTGAAGTCTGTGGCAGTAGTCAGCTCTATGTGGATGTGTTCTCATAGAGATGTACCCAGATTTAGTCTGTCTTTGAACCCTTGCATCTACTTCCCAACTGTAGTCTTTCTGTTGCTTGACCTTTGTGCATGCACCAGCTATATACATATGTAAGATAGCATTCAATGGGGAGGACCTTGGATGAATGGGTTATAGAAGCCAATAATAAGTAAATACCTCTGTTCTCCCACACAACCCGATGGACAGAACTGAGACATATTTCATACTTTTCCTCAGACAATCCTATGGGATAGAGCAACAAGTGGCTCACATTGGTAGGCAGATGATGATGTAGCCTTGTTTTGGCTCACTCCCTTCACTACTCTGCTTACATGTTTTCACAATGGAGTGTTTTCCACATTTGCCTGACATTACTCTGTTTCCCTGTCCTTCACGTTTCTTCCCTGGAATCATATTCCCCAATGAAAAACCCACACACAAGCCTTTGCCCCAGGCTTTGCTCTTTATAGAATACCAGTTAAGTCAGCCACATCTAAAATTCTTAAAATAATTAAGTTGGGGTCTATAAGAATCAATAAGAAGTTTGTTCATACATTCTGTAATCCTATATCTTGTATCCATTAATGCGTCAGGCATTGTCACAAGGCACTGAGGAAAGAAAAAATTAGCATACATGGCCCATGCCCTTGAGTCTAGCTGGAGCAAAGGGGATAACCAGGGTGCAGAGACACAAACAAATGATTATAATAACATTTGATTTCTACATCTAAGGCATGTACAAGGTACTGTAGAACTCCAGGGAAGGGAGTGTAACCATGCCAAATGCTGGAGGGTATGGATAAGTTGGAACTCCAAGGCACTGAAGTACTATAGCCAATCTGGAAAATGGTGCAGCAGTTTCTTTTAAAGCTGAAGATACACTTACCATATGACCCAGAAGCCCCAAGTTAGGTAATTTACCCAAGAGAAGTGAAAACAACTGGACACACAATCATGCACATTAATATTTGGAGTAGTATACTCACAATCACCACAATCACCAAAAACTGGAAATAATCCAAATTTCTTCCAATGGGTGAATGGATAAACAAACTATGTCCATACCATGGAAAACAAGTTACCAACAAAACGAATGAACTATTGTACACACAGCAACTTGGATGAAGTTGAAAGGCTTTATGCTGTGCGAGAGAAGCAAATCCCAAAGGTTGCATATAGTCTGACTACATATATACGACATTCTCCAAAAGGCAAAACTATAGTGATAGAGAGCAGATCAGGGTTGCTGGGATTAAGGCAGGGGTGACTACAAAAGGGTAACACTGAAGTATTTTGGGGTGATGAAACTTCTGTATTCCGATTGTAGTGGTGGTTACATAAATCTATATCTTTGTTAAAATTCATAAAATTTCATATCAAAAGGAAAAATCCATTTTTCTTAGTGATAACTTAAAAAATAAAATAAGGGAGCACCTGGGTGGTTCAGTTGCTTGAGCGTCCAGCTTGATTTTGGCTTAGGTCATGTTCTCAGTGGCTCCATGAGATCAAGCCCTGCATTTGGGCTCTGTGCTGACAGCACAGAGCCTGCTTGGGATTCTCTCACTTCCTCTCTCTCTCTCTGCTCCTACCCCTTTCTCTTTCTCTTTCTCTCTCAAAATAATTAAATAAAAACTTTTAAAAACTTAAAATTAAAATAAGAAAGAAAAGGAGAATGAGAGTCAATGCCGTGTTTAGGATATGATGCTTATATGAAGAAATATGTTATATGATGCTGGTTTATTACATGACATGATCTGATATTATGTGACATCACACTGTAATTATGTGATGTCACATTGTGCACAGTGTTATATGACACCACTTTGTCATAGGACATCATGCTGTTTTATATGATGTCGTTTTTCATGATGCACATTATGTGATGTGACATCACTTCATGTTATATGACATCATACTTTATACTCAACTTACACAGCACATCACATCACATTCAAAACAGTAATTCAGTAAAAATAAATGGTCAGATCTCTACTAGCTGAAACCCTGGGAAGATCATGCATCACTTTTGCTCCTGTTCCCATCAGGGGAGTTACTGTAACTCTAAGGCTACTGTACTCCATTTAAAATATATGCTAATCGAAATTTTCTCCTTGTCAACCTAAGTCTTCTATCATGATGAATGCAAATATATGAGTGTATTACAGGATCCCTAGATAAAGTCATTTGTTCAATCCTAACAAAACATAAGATTTAAAATTTTTAAATGTTTTTCTTATTTATTTCTGAGGGGGGGGAAGCATGAGCAGAGGAAGGTCAGAGAGAGAGGGAGACACAGAATCAGAAGCAGGGCTCCAGGCTCTGAGGTAGCTGTCAGCACAGAGCCTGACACGGGGCTCTAACCCACGAACCATGAGATCATGACCTGAGCCGAAGTTGGATGCTTAGCCAACTGAGCCACCCAGATGCCCCACAAAACACAAGATTTAAAAGCAAAACGGAAGCCCCTCAATCATAGATACAACAACCACACAAAAAAGAGATGTGACCTGTTAGTAAAAAGTATGGGCTTCTTGGGCTAAATAGTTTTCATGGTAATCAAGGTTTTTCAAAGCCTATATAGTTAAAAATGTGACTTTAATTTTAAAAATACTGCTATTTATACAATGACCACTACCAAATGCTAACAAAACTGCATGTAAACTAGTATATATTTTTTAGTCTTTTAAATGCATGCTGTGTTCTTTTAAAGTGTAATCCCAAATAAAATTAGAAACAAAATATTCTGGAAACACCCAAGAATATTTAATGGAACCCCTCTGCCCACAAAACAACAGTTTTATTGTATTTGCTTAATCACTAGTGGTGACCACCTCTTAATGTTAAAATTACATTATGTCTGCAGTGTAATTCAAAATAACTACATTGCAACAATAATTTATAAATGTAATACACCAAATGCAATTAAAATTCATGACATTTTTACCAGTTTAGGTTTGGCTTTCTTCATCATTACATCAGGATTCTATGTGAATTGGCTCTCCGGTGTGGACAAAGAACACTTGTCAACTTGGAACTTAGCCCAGGCTGCCTAGCAAATTGGTTTTGAAATCATTTAAGGAAATAAATTCTCAGAGGCTGTGAACACATTATATAAAGCTTAACACTCAGTCAAAAGCATGTACATCATGTTCTATGTGTAAGACTCTAGCAATGTGTCTTTCTACAAGTGACAGAAAAGGGAAATTAAGTTACAATCTAAAGACTTCTAGTGGTAGCCTAGAACCAATGGAGCAATGCCATGGTGTGAATAACAAGCTTGCTCACATTATCTATCTAATTTACAAGGTTAAGAGGCTTTATTTTCTATGGAATTTATCTTCTTCAAATGTTGCAGTAAATAAAATTTTTATAAAAATATATCTTAACAGGGGCACCTGGGTGGCTCAGTCCGTTGAGCGTCCGACTTCAGCGCAGGTCATGATCTCATGTTCATGGGTTCGAGCCCCGCATCGGGTTCTGTGCTGACAGCTCAGAGCCTGGAGCCTCTTTCAGATTCTGTGTATCCCTCTCTCTCTGACCCTCCCCTGCTCACGCTGTCTCTTTGTCTCTCTCAAAAATAAATAAAACATTTAAAAAATACATATCTTAACAGACCTTATTTTGAAGGAAAACCATAAATAAAGTGTTTGGTTAAAGAACATACTCCTTGACAGGACTTCAAACTTATGTTTCTCATAAATCTGTACACTCACATGAAATACATTTTGGAAGTGGTTTGGGTTTTTGTTTTGTTTTGTTTTAAGTAATAACATCAATAGGCATAACTGCTAAATCGGTAAGAAAAACTTAAGGAATGCGGAAAACATTGATGAAGAGTGGAAAGATGCTAGGGTTAACAAGATATCTGGTGAGTTCAATTTGCAAGACAGACATGTGTCCTCAAGTGAGGACACGCCCTACAAAAAAAACACAGGGCTTGAGAAATGGAAAGGGAGAGCCACAGAACTGTGAAAGCAAATGACCTATGGGAGAGTAGAACAGGTTCTTCTGTGTGGGAAAAACGGATGCACCATGGGGAACATGGGTGTGTGTAGACCTTTTGCACTCCTCTGGCCCTTTCAATTGCTCATCTAATCTTCATGTCAAGCTGTACAAACTGTAGGACTCTGACCTTGCTGATGTGACCTCCTGTCTCTTCTGGGGGTGCTTATCAAGCAACAGCTCAAAGATTTGGCTATCAAGTACAAGAGAGATGATAATATCTACCCCATACTTCTTTTAATGTTAAACCCTGAAGGGGCCAAGGACCCATACACTGAGACACTAGGGGCTGGAAAGACCTCTCTCTCTCTCCCTCTCCCTCTCTTCCAGAAAACAAAAAGAGAGGTAGTGGATAAATGTTTCCTTTTTTCCATCAAAGATGGCCACCCTCCATCTCACCCTCCTCACCAATGTCTGGGAATAAGCTTTGAAATCTTCCCTTCCAGACTATAATAGCAATTGCAAAGCCTATAGACAAAAGGTAATAAAAAATTAGACTCACCAAGATCAAGATGAACACCAGGGACAAATGAATTGAGAAAGAACGTGAAGATAACAAATCCCAACACCATCAGGCATTTGGTGAGCAGAATTCTGTCTGATATCCTGTGCTATAAAAGAGAGGAAAACATAAGTCATTTACTGGGCATAATCTTCTGTTTCCTGCAATGTATCCATCATCCTCCATGACTTGAATCACTACAAATTTCTCCTTAAGATGCAAAATACAATATCTTGAACTAGAAAGAAGATGATAAGGTAATGCATTATAATGAATACTATAGATTTGGGATTATAGTATTCAAAATCTTTATTAAAAAGTAAACATAATAAATTTAAAATATAGGACAATCCTTTTATAAAACACCTGACTAAATAGCTTCTCAATACTATGCAGAAAGTACTCCCAGCTCTATCACAAGTATTAGGTTAGATGTTGGCAAAACCACTGAGGAAATAACATGCAACTTCCAGGGACCTGGCCACATTTCCACCAATGCTATGTGCTCACATTCTTTTAATTCAACTTTCCGCCTATTACACAAATCCCTTTCATGGTAGTACTGAGGTTAACATGCTTATGCAGTAACATGACTCCTTCTGAAGGTTCCTACTGTATCCTTTCATGTTCACAGGTACCCTAGAAGGTACTTGGCAGTCCCATAGCCACCAAGATGACATCATTGATAGCCTATGGAGTCATTCAGGGGTGAGGGGAGATGACAAAAGACTCTATAGTACCTTCATTAATCTCAAAGGTGCAAAACTCCTTTAAGTGGGCCTGAGCCACAGAGCAAGATGGGGCAAGGTCTCCAGAGGGTGCTGTGCCCCAAGGGTCACAGGTGTGTGGAGCTGGGGAAGGGAGCAAGACCTGGGCAAACTGGCACAGATGGGCCCTGGGTTGCCAGACCCTACCCAAACAGATCCCTATGTGAATCATGCTCCATCACGTTATCTGACAAATGTGCCATGTCCTTTCTTAAGCATGGTCCTGCCAGCACGTCTGTCTATGTGCTGTCTAGGTGTCAATTTTAGATAGACATAGATGTGTGTGTGTGTGTGTGTGTGTGTGTGTGTGTGTGTGTGTGTGTGTGTTTGTGTATGGATAGAAAGTGAGAGGCAGAGATAGACATTTATGGGTATGCATATGGATAGAGATAGATGTACAGAAAGATGGTACAGGTATAGGTATAGAGATATAAAGATAGATGTATGTATAGGTATAGATTTTCTCTCTGGATTTCTCTAGTCATATAGTTAAAGCTTTTGCCATAAAAACCACAAGCATATTCTTCCTTGTTACACTGGCTCTGGCTGCAGTCCCTGGCCCCTTGCTCACAAATTATGTGGACCACCTTCTGATTATCTGCCCTCCTTCCCCAACCACTGCCAAGGCTTGTGACTCAACTAGCCCCCACTCATCATCTTCTTCCCATTTCCAAGGAAAGCCTGTTTGGCTAGATGAGTCTCTGATGGTGAATTAGGAGGAAAAGGGCATGACACCTCACTTGTTGTAAGGGGAGGCACTACAAATCTTCCATGCAGCCATGCTAATCATAGAAAGGTATCACCATGGGCAGTTCCAGGATCGGAAATGGAGGGAGCAGATAAAAGAACATTCCAGCATCACCTTACTGGTTTAAGTAGAAATGATCCAAAATGTATGTTTATCTCTTATCTTGGGTATCTGTAAAATTTTCTCCTTTTGCCTTTCTGGAAAGGAATTCCAGATAAGATATCTTAGATACAATACAAGTTCCTTGTTTTTCCCTTCCACGTCTCCTCAATCCTCATCTACCACATACACAGAGAGGTACACAATCTCTTCCCTAACTCACAGCCAGCACTACATGGTCTAGCAAAGTAGGCACGTCTGCAAAAAATGGGACCCAGAAAAGTGCCATAGCCACACTCTCCTTTCCTAACCCCAACCATCTCAGGAAGACAGAGATTGGGAAGAGAGACCCAAAGGACACATTATCCATCAGGACCACCATACCTAAATTTCTTTTATAAAGGGACAAAATGTTCCTATCATAATTAGAAAGTGGGTAATCGATCTCTCCCTAGGAAAGAAACTACCTGGATTTGAAATTTCACAAAGATATAAATGTCTCCCAGCAGATCTGGAGCAGAGTTCTCTCAGCTAGGAGCAGGTACTGTGTTCTCAGATAGGCTAAAAGAAAAAGTCTGTGAAAGGAGGAAAATTAGCAACATAACTGTAAAGTTAGAGCCCACCAGAAGTCAGAGCCATATATATGACAGAATGTACACCACACACACCATCTCTGTCCCTAATGCTGTTCTGTCTCACACTGCATGCCTCATCTGTCTTTCTCCACCTCTTCATCCACACAATGGGAACCACAAGACCTGCCTTTTAGGATCAGGGAGGGCTGCAAGGACCTCAGGCACCCAGACAACGTTCTATGCAGGTGCATTAACTATAGAAAGGGCCACTCTATCGCAAAGGGTATTTAAAAAGTTTTAACTTTTCCTATTCAGGACAAAATAGTCCTGTCATGTTTGGAAAATTATTTCCCCCCCATTTATTCCTAGAAATAACTTATGTCTGTGTACAACCATAGGAATAAAAAGAGAAATTACTTTCATTCTTAACTTTGTGTGAAGCAAAAGGTGAATCAGAAATCCCTGAGAAGAAGAAACCACAATACCTTTTTTTGGAGTTCCTGGATGTTGACCTCCCAATTTTTATCTTCCTGTGAGATTTGTCTAAAAGAGAAAAAGGCAGACTCATCATTTTCCTGGAGCTACTGAGTAGTGAGATCAGCAAGGCCACAGTCAGTAGCACATTTAGCATGGACCTTTGGCCTAGATACCAGGCACTAAGTGACACCTGATGTGGCCACATACTGGACACACCTAGTCATGGAAGGTGACTGGTGGACTTGAATTTCTGAATTGGAAGACATTTTTGTATTTCCAAAGAAAAGTAATACAGGAATGAATGGAATGTTAGTAACCAAATGTGCAAGCATGTGTATGTGTGAACATGATGAGCAAAGAGAATGTCAGAATATTGACCAAAATGTGAACAAGGGGAATGACAGTAAGCTACTTTTGTTTTCCTCTTTTTACTTTCTATTTTTCTATAATTTTTCCCAAAATGAAGTTCTTTTATATTGACAACCAAACTAATTAAAGGAAGAAACTGTAAAAGAAATGTCACTTGCCTTAGTGGTGATTTTTATCAGTGGAAATAAATTTTAAAGAACTTATGTGTGCTTCTTCCCTCCTCTGGTCATGGGAACCTCTCAACTGTTTCAGTCACTCTCATTTTTTCCCACGTGCCTTTCCCTTTAAACCTTTCCTATCAGTTCATCTTTACTGCTTTATTTTCTTCCCCACCAACTAGTAAAAGGAGCTATATGGTGGATAATTTATTTTTATGAGCAGTCATATACCATATGTATCAAAAGAGGCTGATCATAGAGCCAGAGCAGACCCTAAAGGAAATCACAGGAGATACAGGCAAATTCTGAAGACAATTTTTTTTTAATAATAGATACAACAAGATCTGCAGAGCTAGCACTTGCCTTAGATCACCCTCATTCTAATCTGCTCCTCAGTGACTATAGCTTCACAAGGCCATTGTCCTCTCCACACCTCAGTTTTCCTATGTGTGTTCAACACAGGATGAGCTGATGGAAAATTGGTGAAACTCTGGGCTCACATGTTTCTTCACAGTTGTAACCCTGAGATACACTGAGTTTATCTTTAACACTCCACAGCAGATGAAGGATGCTGAAGCTTGAAGGTCAGTGAATGAAATATACTAAGGCAATTTATCCCTGCATCTTTCATTTACAAAGTTTCTCCCTTAAGATGTATGCCTGTTTCGTTAAGCATAACACCCTCAAGGTCCATCCATGTTGCTACACATGGCCAGATTTCATTGTTTCTCATTGCCATGTAGTATTCCATCATATAGATTAACCACATCTTCTTGATCCATTCGTCCGTTGACGGACACTTAGGCTCTTTCCATGTTTTAGCTATTGTGGAGAGTGCTGCTATGAACATTGGGGTACATGTGCTCCTATGCCTCAGCATTTCTGTATCCCTTGGGTAAATTCCTAGCTGTGCTATTGCTGGGTCCTAGGGGAGTTCTCTTGTTAGTTTCCTGAGGAACCTCCACACTGTTTTCCAGAGGGGCTGTACCAGTTTACATTCCCACCAACAGTGTAGGAGGGTGCCCGTGTCTCCACATCCTCACCAGCATCTCGAGTTCTCTGATTTGCTCATTTTAGCCACTCTGACTGGCGTGAGGTGGTATCTTAGTGTGGTTTTGATTTGTATTTCCCTGATGAGGAGGGATGCTGAGCATCGTTTCATGTGTCTGTTGGCCATCTGGATGTCCTCTTTGGAGAAGTGTCTGTTCAT